CACGGTGAACGAGCACGCGTACAAATACGGTTACTGCCTTGGTGATGGGATATACCCGGATTATTCTATATTGATGAAGGCATACTCGGTTCCTCGAAGTGAAAAGGCAAAGTTGTTTACAAAAAAAAACAGGAATCGGCGAGAAAGGATATCAAGAAGGCATTTGGAGTCCTTAAGCAGACATGACATGTAGTGAAATATGCTACCCGACTCCGGGATAAAGAAATAATTAAACGAATGGTCCTAGCATGTATTATAATGCATAATATGATTATTGAAGATGAAGGTCGAGCGATTTGCACGTATGATCCGAACGACGTTGTCGTTCCAATTGAGGAGTTCGTACCCGGAACGAATGCGTTTTTAGAGCGAGTTGTTGAAATTTATAACAGTGAAACGTGTTTCAATCTTCGAGAAGATGTTGCGGAACATTTGTACCAACGTAGCATGAACGATGATTAGGTTTTTTATATGTATGTTTGTTTGTTTTTTTAATTAATGTAATGTTTTTTTTCTAGATTAACTAAGTAATGTAGTTTGAAGTTGTAATTTTATTTTTATAATTAATGAAAAACTAGTTTAAAAAAAATGAATGTATTTTAATTATAAAAAATGTAATTTTATTGTATTTTTGAATTAAAAAAAATAAAAATAATGATGTGGAGTGGTATGTTAGTGGTAGGTATCTCATGTTAGTGGTAGGAGAATGTGGTGCTGATGTGGTACCCACCACATATGTGGTACCCACCACATATGTGGTATATGATTGGTATAACGAATGACCTTATTATTTTGTAATGTTCTCTTTTTCTAACATTGGACATTGCAAGCATGGTAATAAAATTTATGGTAATAGAATTTAAAATTAAAAAGAACTTTATTAATAAATGAAACTTTATAACTAAATCCAATTTAGATCTAAAAAAACTGATAACTAAATGAACCACTTTTGGGGTCATATCCACCCAGGTATAAAATTTATTTTATAAAAAAATAAAAAAATTAAAAAATAAAAAAATAAAAAAAACTTCATAACACTACCATGATATGTCCTTCCAACCTCTTTGTATAAAATATGATGCGGTATGCAAGAAATGTGTTGTATACCTAAAAATGATTGGAAATTTTTTTGTTTCCAGTTAGTTTAATTAATATGATGTAATTTTCTATTTATTTTAATAATATTTAATATAGAATTAATTTTTAATTATATATAAGTTTATGCCATTTTAATTTTTATCTATCTTATTAACTATTTTTTGTCAAACTTTATTGTTTTATTAGCTAGTTAGGCTAAATGATATGATAGATAACAATGCCTCTAAAAAAAACAATGTCTCTAAAATTTGGTGCCAATAGAGGTCACATAGGATTCAAACATTCAATGTCTTTTTATGCATATATAGTGGTGTTGTGTGTATCAACATTTGCAAATTTTTGTTTGTATCTCTTAACTTTAATAGTTGTACATCAAGATATGGAGCGCTATTGTCGCTCAAACTTGAGTTGCAAATATTTACCTATGAACTATGCCTGCAATGGGGTTGATGTTTGCCGCCGGTATCCATTTCGTCGACACTTTATAGTCTTGCCTAGACAGAAATAAGTTTTTTTAACCTAAAAATTAGTTTTTCATGTTAAAGTCAAAAGACAACCTAAATACATGTTTTTAATATTCCTATTATTCCTTGAACACTTGCATGTTATGTTATGACTTATGAGTTGTTATTTATACCCAATCTTGTACTTAAATATGTGATGTGAAATGTAATACAACTCATTTATAATTTATGAATAAAATTAAAAATTATGAAAATGGGAGGCAACCACTTTCCATGCATTTGGTTTCATGGGCGGCGAGCGTGTGGAATCCACAATTAGTTCCCGGCGCCCGCGTCTTCCTTTAATCGTTTTTCTCATGGCTTTTCTTGTTTCAGTTTCCCTTCAAAACCGGATGAATTTATGGGAATTTCTCATATCCAACGAATAGGCTCATTAATTTAAGTATTATAGAATATAGATTTAAAAGTCATAATTTTTTGTTTCCATGTAATTCTTATAGTTGACGTAAGGATCAAAGGCAGACTTTCCATTATTCAGTGGAACCCAGTAGAATGCCAGAAATCTGAGATATTCAAAAAATACAATATGTACATATTAGATTTTATTTCCATTATCCAGATCCGCCTCTAATTAGATAAATATTGAAATGTGAAATGTAAAAAATACATGAAACCAGGTTCAGCATTTTCACATTGTCATTGTGAGTCACACAGTCACGCCTGGGCATAGCGTAAATTGAGCAAAGCCGACACTAATTGCGGCATATATATAAATCAGTCTGCTAATTAATCTTAATAATTCTAACGTAATCAAATGCGTGTCGGTACATAATTTCTACATAATTACATCACCTCTTCTGTTCTGTCTTATCATTTTCTTTCTTTATTAATAAAAATAAGTTTTTCCTCCTCATTTCCACTCACAAACGGACTCGTGAATCTAATACAAATTTTGTGTTTTTAAGTTTTACATATCCTCCTTTATATTACGACATGTTTTCACATTTGAAGTTTTTTTTTTTGGTTAAAAAAAACATTCAGTTTGTATTTAAATATTAAACATTGGACACCATAAGTTTACCAAAAAGAATATTACCAGTCATTAACACAACTCGAATATGAATGTGTTCGGTAAAATTAGCTAGAAGTTGGAAGCTTAGTTTTTATTTGTATATTAATGATTGACAAAAATAACTGAAAACTTTTAAAACAAATAAAATTACTTATCGAAAACAAGTTATTGGTTTAAAAAAGGATAATAAAGTCGATTTGTAAAATTATAAAAGAGCATTTGTTTAAATGCTCATTGAAATAGCTTTTGGAAAATTGCTTCCCAAACTTGCCCTATATAACCGAGTCTTGAAATTTAGTGTTAATATGGGTTTAATATCCCAGAATCTATATATATATATATATATATATATATAGATATATATATATATATATAATATATATATATATATATATATAAAAGTTCAATAGAGAACCATAATTATTGGTTGTTTAAGGAACCAAATCTTTTTTTCAATTTCTAGAGCTTATTCTTTATCGAAAAAAAATCTAAAAATATCTAAATTCATATATTAACATTGTGAATGTGAAAAATATTTTTCGGATTCACCGTGTGAATCCGTATTCACATTGTGAATTTTCAAAGATTCACATTGTGAATTTGACGTAAAAAAAAATCGAATCTGATATCATTGGAAAATGGATAAAAAGTTATGAATTTCTGTATTTTTAGTTTTTTTTTTGATAAAAAATAAATTCTAAAAGTTGAAAAAAAGATTGGTTCATTGGTTAATTATGGTTCTCTATTGAACCTCACCCTATATATATATATATATATATTATATATATATATATATATATATATATATATATATATATATATCTATATATATATATCTATATATATATATATATATATATATATATATATATATACACCCCGGTATATGAAAGGCAAAAAGAAATAACCAGTCAAATAAAAATATTATAACGCCATAATCTTGACTTCCATAAAAAAGGATTTGTATATGTTGACATAATTTTTTTTTTTTTTGGTACATGTTAACAAATACTACAGTGTAAACAGGATATATCTGAAGTATTTAATTGTCATGCATTATTTATTTTAATTATAAAGGAATGGAAGTCATAAACATAATTGTGATTATTAATTGCCATAAACTCTATAACATGTAACAATAATAAATTAGGTAAGCTATGAATGTGAACATGTTATGTACATACGTATGCAATGGTATAATGTTTACAAGTTGCGACTACTTATAAGATTGGAAGGTTATACATTTAATACTTTAATTATATCTTTCATATGTAAAGCTATTAGTTATTTAGAAAATAAAGCAGTTAGCCTTTTAATACACAATTAAGTTGGAATTTCTATTATTAAATTACCTTAACATGTAAAACTAATACGATTGATTATTAATTATAGAGGTGGCAAAGTATACTAATCCGATAAGTTAACATATCAAAACTCAAAAGAACCAAAACAACTTTATATGGATTAATCAATTTTTTAAATGGAAAAATCAACTTCTTATCCAGTCAAAATACAAATATTTTTTTTTTCTTATTCTTTTGAAGTTATAAATAATTAATATGCTTAACATTTTAATAAAATTTATTATTTCAATACTGTAGTTTTTTTTTAATATATTCGTTTTACAAGTTTTATGTACCATTATTGGAGATTAATTTGACCCTTTTGCATACTAAAGTGATCAAATTATCATTTATAATCAATTAGAATTCCATAGAAAGTAAGGTAATGATACTTTTCTAAGTTTGAATGGTGTTAAAGTTCCATGGAAAGAAATAAAATTATCAGTAAAATTAAAATTCAAAGTATTGTGGTGTTGGCTTTTTGGGTACAAGTCATAAACGTTTAGTTTAGTTTCATACCTGAGTTGAATCGTTCTAGAAACTTGAACATTCTGGGAACCTCTTACTCGAGGCTCGCCACTCACAACTCACTCACTCGGTCAGGCTTACATGGGCAATGACGGCTACGGCTACCCACTATTTTCACATTCATACCATTATTCTGCACATTTTTCACTTTATCCCCTTTTTAATTACTACTTTCCCTTTTTCGTCCCCACACGCATCCCACTTGTCTTCAAACTTCAACTCTCCAGTTCCGTGTCTAATAAGTAACTAAAGTCGCTTTCGTCATTCACACACTTTGGTCAAACTAAAATAAGTCAACACTTGCCACCTATAAATACCATCTCCCACAATCAACTCTTCACTCCATTCATTCTTTCACATTTCCATTCGCTTCCAAAACTCTACTTTTCGGCTCCATACTTTTACATTAATACCCCTCATCAACTTTTCTCATAATCCCATTTCGAGGGTTAATTTGTAATTAACTAAAACCGATATACTATGGTGTGTTTACCGATGAAGAGATCAAGAGATCAGGATGCACTAACAAGCATGGCGAACTACTTGATGATTCTATCGAAGGGAACCACAAGCACTGAATCTTACGATGTTAATACAGTTAACAAAGTCTTTGAATGCAAGACATGTAATCGTCAGTTCCCATCTTTTCAAGCACTTGGTGGACATAGGGCTAGCCATAAGAAGCCAAGGCTAGATGGCGATATGACAGATCATCATGACGCCATTGTTTTGGGTAAGCCGAAAGCACATAAGTGTTCGATTTGTGGGCTTGAGTTTGCCATCGGACAAGCGTTGGGCGGACATATGAGGCGGCATAGGGCGGCTACGACGACTGAGAATCACTCTCCTCTGCCGCTAGATCTGTCGCCGGCGCCGATGGTAAAGAAGGTGAATCTTAGAAGGGTTTTTAGTTTGGATTTGAACTTGACACCATTAGAGAATGATTCTGGGTTTAGGGTTGATGATGAGAAGGTGACTCCGATCACGGTTGACTTCTTCTTATGATGTATTATTGTTGAGATATTATCTTTTTTTGACTTGCGGATTTTAGAATAGGAATTTTATTTTATTTTTTATTTTATGGGGGAGAGGTTTTTTCTTATATAATTATTAAAATGTATTTATACACGAATACACACGATCATTACCATATGATTTATTTTTAGATTTTGTTATTACATGGATATTAAATACATCATTTTTTAGTGAAGAAATGATTGAAATGTTTATATATATTACCTTGTAAAAAGAAATTACCATACCTTATAAGTTATAAGTTAAATTAACATAATAATAACAATAATCCCATACTTTTAAAAATATTGACTTTAACTCTTGCATCTTTAACAAAACAAAAGAATAACAATAATCCCACACGTTTAAAAATATTGACTTTAACTCTTGCATCTTCAACAAAACAGACAAAAGAACAAGGGAAGATACAAGATTTAGAGGTTGGAAGAATATATAAGCCGAAAATCAAGCCGTAAAGAAGGAAGGAGTTTTCCAATCAAGCCGAAAATCAAGCCGTGACATGTATAACATTTAATGTTCATTTAATGATATACAGGATTTAGAGGCTGGAAGAATATATAAGCCGAAAATCAAGCCGTGACATGTGTAACATTTAATGATATTTTTGTAAACTAATATGACATATGTCATCATTTAATTGGGTAGGAGGATTTGTAGGAAGAAAAGTAGGAGGATATTTAAGTTTTCCAATGCAAAGAGAAATTAAATATCCTCCTATGGTATGGATATTTATTTTTGAGATAAGGAGAATTAAAGATATTCTTAATATAAATTATTTCTGTATATTTTAAATATAACATCGATATAATTATAAAATTTTCTGTTCGGGTAAACCTTATATACTTAATAAAATACCAAACAAAAGATGAACTATATAATATGAATCGTCAATTTCCCGAACTAGAAGTCTAAACCCATACTGGGTGCATAACTACACTCCCGTTCTTTTTCATTTCCACAGTTCCTTATTTAATAGTTACTACTCCACATAAATATATTAAGCGTGGGAGTTTAAACTAACGAATATTATTCTGGATAATAAATAAGGTTTGTGCCTTTGTGGACTTTTTTTAAAATTATTTTCCACATTAGCTGCACAACGTGTTAAAATTTTTCATTCGATTTTCATTGAGATTTTATAATTTCTAACATTTTGTTCCATTTGAAAAGACAAAATTATAAGAATGGTCCCTGTGGTATGTCAAAACTAGCAACTTTGGTCCAAAATGGGTTTGGCTTGCAAAGATGGTCCAATAGTTTCGTTTGTTGCGATTTTAGTCCAAAAATTTTAAAACTTTTTATAATGACTGATTTGCCCTTGGTATTTCCCCTTTTTAATTTTTTTATTACATAAATCAAAAAAAGAAAAAGAAAAAAAATCTCTCTCTCTCTCTCTCTCTCTCTCTCTCTCTCTCTCTCTCTCTCTCTCTCTCTCTCTCTCTCTCTCTCTCTCTCTCTCTCTCTCTCTCGTCATCACCTAGAACATTACCCAAGAACATTACAATGGAAAATACCCTAAAAATCCGAATTATCAAAAGATAATAATGCAGAAATTTTATTTGGATTCTTGAATCGATCTAGATGGATAGAAGGGAAAGGGCTTTTTGTGCCCGTGTTCGATGTTTGATTGGGTGATATGAACGCGAATGAACCACAGTAGACACGAAGGAAACAAGAATGAAATCAAACATTAGCCTCCGATTGATGACCGATCGTGAAGAAGATGAAGCGCCTCCGGCGCATGACGGGACCGGAGAAAATGAAGAATCGTAAGAAATCTTAAGTAACATTTTGATTGAGGGGTGTGGTTCGACGGCGGATGGCGATTCGCAAGGGGAAGGGAAGAAGGCTCGCATGCGGCTAATCCCGGTGCTCCTGGGTCGATTGATAGTGACGAGGGAGATCGTCAGTGGGTATAACGTGGTCGTCGACTATGGAACAGGTGAGGGAACGGGATGGGTAGGGCAGTAGTGAGGGTCGATGGGGCCGAAGAGAAGGAAAGGGAAGGCAGTGAAGCTTCTCTCTTCCTATTCTGATAACAAGGTTCCGGTTGAGCTAGGAGAGCAGCAACATCGGCGCAGGTGGTGTGTTTGGCAGTGGAGCTCGACGGGAAGAAGAGCAGGTGCGATGGGGAGTGTTCGACGTTGGTTTTTGCTCGACAATCACATGTACTCTTCTTTTTACTTTGACTGTAAATCCATGGGGTTTAGTCAATAGATTTAGGTTAAGATGAGTGTTTGTTGATTGATTCTTGACAGAAATGGATAAATGGAATGGATGAGTGAGGTTAATCTTTTACAGGAAATCGATGGGTGTATGTTTGTTTTGCTTGACAGAATCGATGGGGTGTAAATCACTAGGTTTAGGTTTGTGTTTTGGTTGCTTGAAATTGCCATGGAAAGAAGATGAAGCAATAACAAGGAGTGGTTGTATTTCTCATTTGCAGGTATACATGAAAAGAACAAGAATACTCTTGTGTTCTTGGCTGGGAACGAATGGAGAAGGGAAGAACAAGGATATATGTTGATTGTATTGGTTTATTAGAGAGAGAGAGAGAGAGAGAGATTTTATTTTTGTTTTATTTTTAATTGTTGTAATAAAAGAAAAATGGAAAATAAAATAATAAGGGGCAAATCCGTCATTATAAAAAAGTTCATAGGAAATTGGATTAAAATCGCAACAAAACGAAACTATTGGACCATCCTTGCGATCCAAACCCCTTTTGGACCAAAGTTGCTAGTTTTGACATACCACAGGGACCATTCTTGCAATTTTGTCATTTGAAAAACACGGAGACGGATTGTAAGTGTATCCCCGTTATATGAGTGTACGGTGTTTTATAAATAGTTTTTATACTTAGTTGAAAATATTTGTTTGTAATTGTGGATATCAAAAATCAAAACTCGTTTTCTTATAAAATTTAAAGTTCAAAGGGCAAGAAAACAACATAAGCCTTCCGGAACATACATAGCGAGCCATTCGGGCTGATGAGGTGGCAGGCTGGCGGCTCACCATATTAATTTGTGAACACCATCATAATGCAATGTGGTGGTTTGTGATGTGGTTGAATGGTCATCACCAAGGTTCTAAATAACGTAAGGCGTGGCTTGGCGGCAAGGTAAAAGTTAAGCCATGACAAGCCTTGGCGAGCCATGGCGTTTTTCAAGACGTGACTATTTTATACATATTAAAAAAGATAAATCATATAATTATTGATTTTTATCAAGTATATCAAGTTTTTAGAAGTGGTATGTTAGTATTTAATATAAAAAGTTAACAAAAACTCAATTATTTTAGGCCCGATAAAAAAATCAAAAAAAAAAACAAAAAAAACTCGCGCCTTGAAAAAAACTCGCGCCATATCGCGATAAGGCGCGCCTTGACACGTTATTTGGACGTCACGCTTAACAAACCCGCCTTGGACGTTTTCGTAACGGCTACACCACGCCTCGCGCCATGGCACGCCTTGAGGCACGTCATGTCGCGTTTTTTAGAACCATGGTCATCACCATAATTGAACACAACCATCATTTTCTTTCTCTCTATATCTATCTTAACCGTTTAATTAATTAAAAAAATTATTTAAGTAATGAAAAAAAATACAAAAAATGTGGTGTGGTGAGTATATCAAACTATGTGGTGATGAGATAGTGGTGACATGACACCCTTAGACGGGTATAGGATGAACTTAATATTTGGTTCACTGACACATTTAAAAGCCTATGTCTAACCCTTGTGATGAGATCCTAAAACCGGAGGGCGTCACATTTTCTCATTTTGCCACATTGCCACATAAGCGACACATCAACATTTACTATAAAATGTGGTTTCATGTCACACCCAATGAGTGGTGCCACATTCATTTAAAACCATTAATACTTGTCAAAATTTTGAAGACTTGAATTAATGAATGCTATTAAAAAATTAATTTGGAGCAAAATAACAATTTTAAAATATTAAATCCATCAATATAAGTTAAATATAAGTTCTAAACATAAATATTTTAATTAAAAGTGGTAATATTTCTTATTACATAATAACTAATAACAAAATCTAATAATTATTTTCCCGTAAGAAATCTATTCGCCAAAAAAGATATTTGTCGCCGCTGCTTTGCGCGGGCACACATCTAGTATGTATGTATATATATATATATATATATATATATATATATATATATATATATATATATTCATTTGAAATATGACCGTTTAATGGTAATGTAGGTGGAAAGTGCAACAAAGGAGCGTGGCCACAGAGTGCCACATTGCGGTCTCTACCGCATCAAAACCGCAATGAGGGGGCGATATTCCAAGCTGAGGTGGCAAGAGAGTGCACCCTCTGCCACATCCATTCTCCCAGGCCTAATGATTGAGGAGCGGAATTTAACACAGAAGACATATGGTTTAAACAATTGCACATCCAAAATATTATACTATTTTTTTACGATTGACCTCTCATGTGGGCCGTGAGGCGGGTTAACAATGTAGGCCGTTCAGATGGTGCAATTTATTATTTTTTATGATAATCGGATTTTTTGTATGCCCAAATCTTACAATCGAATAAAAGGTTTTGAACAAGATTGATTCATTTATTATTGTAAATCGTAAATAATAAATATAATAAGACCATACTAAACTAGCTTCGTGTTTTTGTTTAGTTGACTTCTGGTTGCTAAACTTTTGGGTTTCAGTTTAAAGATTTAGATCCTATTGTAATTTGATAATTATAGCAATTCTTAGTAATAATTGTTTTATTACGAAAATTTTATAGTTGCGTTTTTCTCAGGTAACATACTAACATACGTCATAAATGTAGGCATGCTTTCGGCCATTCAATTATTCAAATACACCCATTGAAGCCCAAAATAGGCCGGTTCTTACTTGTGAGACCATGCTAAACTTCATTTGTTGGTTCTACTTTCTAAAATGTAAATAGAATAAAGGGTAAATTATACGGAAGGTCCCTAT